ATATGCACTCTTTTTTTTTTTTTAAGATTTCTTTTATTTATTTGAAAGAGTTACAGAGAGAAGTAGAGACAGAGAGAGAGCTTTTCCATCCACTGGTTCATTCCCCAGATGGCCACAACGGCCGGAGCTGCGCCAATCTGAAGCCATGAGCCAGGAGCTTCTTCCGGGTCTCCCACGCGGGTGCAGGGGAAAGATGCTATGGTTATTCATATGCATGTCTTGTATGGACGTATGTGTTTAACCTTCTTCCAAGGAATGGTTAGGATGTACAGTAACTAACTACCCATTGTAAGAAGCTGCAGAACTCTCTTCTGAAGGAGTTCTACCTTTTTACCATCCCATGAGCAGTGTACAGAATTTCAGTTCGTCCACATGCCTGCCAGTGCTTGGCATGATCAGTCTTTTTGATGATAGCCATTTTTACAGGTGTGTAGTGGTTTCGAAATTGCTACTAATGATGAGCACGTTTCCACATGCTTGTCTATCATCCATATCCATCCCCTGGTGAAATGTCTGTTCACACATTTTGTCCATTTTTTGTTGGGTTATTTGTTTCCTTTTTATCAGGTTTGAGAGTTCTTTATAGATTCTGGATGTTAACCTCTCTAGTAAGTCTTGAAATCAGGTAGATTTATCCAACGAATACTGTTCTTTTTCAAAGTTGGGCTTCTTCTTGGTCCTTTACACTGACATGCAAATTTTGGGACCAGTTTATCAATTTGCACCAAAAGCCTGCTGGGATTTTGACTGAGATTTTATGCGTCTGTCAATCACTTTGGGGAGAGCTGATATGTTAAGAGTGAATCTGAGGCTGGCGCCGCGGCTCACTAGGCTAATCCTCCGCCTAGCGGCGCCGGCACACCGGGTTCTAGTCCCGGTTGGGGCGCTGGATTCTGTCCCGGTTGCCCCTCTTCCAGGCCAGCTCTCTGCTATGACCAGGGAGTGCAGTGGAGGATGGCCCAAGTGCTTGGGCCCTGCACCCCATGGGAGACCAGGATAAACACCTGGTTCCTGCCTTCGGATCAGCGGCGGCCATTGGAGGGTGAACCAACGGCAAAGGAAGACCTTTCTCTCTGTCACTCTCTCTCACTATCCACTCTGCCTGTCAAAAAAAAAAAAAAATTAAAAAAAATTAAAAAAAAAAGAGTGAATCTGAATCATGAGAAGGTATGTCTCTCTTTACATCTGTTCTCCCTCGGTGATATTTTGTAGGCTTCTGAGCACAGGTCTTTCCTATCTTTAGTCAGTTGAACTCTAGTTGTTTAGTATTTTTTGATGGGTCCTACTGTAAACTTTTTAAACATTCCATTTCTGATGGTTTGTTGATAGCATATAGAAATACAATAGTTTTTGAACATTAATCTTATATCCTGAGACCCTTCTCCATGTACATATTGGTTCCAGCTGATTTTTTGCACACCCTGAACTTGCATTGGTTTCTGAATATTAAATCCACCTACATTCCTTGAAAAAATTCCACTTGGACATGATGTGTTATCCTTCTGATATTTTGGATTTTATTTGTTAAAATATAACATGGGTTTGATTTGCTAAAATTTTGCATTTTTTAAAGAAATTGATTTGTAGTTTTCTGGTAACATCACTATCTAGAGAAACAATGGTATAAAATGATGCCATGGGTAGCATTCACCCTTTAATTATCTGAAATAGTTTGTGTGGAATTAGCAGTGTTCTTTTCTTTATTATGTGAAAGAATTCACAAATGAAGAGACTAGAGTTTTCATAGAGAGGAAACTTATTTTTCCTTCTGAAAAAATCTAAACTAAAATTTCAGTTTCATTAATAGATACAGGGATTAATCAGATTATCTATTTTTTTGTGTGTGTAAAGATTGTTAATTTGTGTCTTTTAAGGAATTGGTCCATTTCAGCTGAGTTGTCAAATTTGTGGGTATATAATTTCTCATAATATTCTCTTTTTTAAAACATTGTGGAATCTGTAGTTACGTCACCTCTCTCATTCCTAATTTTGTAACTTGTGACTTTTATTTTCTGATGAACCTGTCTAAAGATTGATCCGTTGTATTGATCTTGAGGAATTAGCTCTTGGTTTCATTGTTGTGCTGTTTCCTGTTTCATCAGTTTCTGCCATGGTAATTATTATTTCATTGTTCTTACTTTATATTTAATTTGCTGTTTTCAAGTGTCTTCAAGTTTGTTAATCTTTTCTTCCCAGAACATTTTTTTTTATCCAAGAACATTGTAGTTTTCATCTTTAGGTTTTATTTGAAGATTTTTTTGATGGCTTCCATGTTTCAACTTAAATTCTGAATGTAAAGAATTCAGTTACAACAGTGACGCTGGTGTCTTAGTCTTGCCAATTTTAACCCTGTCTCAGGCCTGGGTTGTTCTGAAGGGTTGATGTGCTCCCTGTGTTTCCTTGCTTCCTTGCCCACCTGGTGGTCTCCGATCAGATGCCAGGCACCGGCTTCTATTTCTATCCCCATACAAATCTCCCAAGGAAGAAGGTGCTCTGTGCTGTGTCCACCTCCCCCAACTTGACGTCAGCTCTCCAAGAGTGAGATTTTTATTCTCATAAGTCTTCTTGAGCTTTGCGCTGGGCTGTCCTGAGTCACGTAGAGGCAGCTTGTGTTCCTGAGGCCCTGCTCTGGTGATATTTGGGAGACATTTCTGAGCGGTCTGGGGCTGTGTTCCCCACCACTGAGCAAGACCTGCTTCCACGCTCTGCCAGTGCCCGGAACTCTGATTTCCCCCAGGCTGGTTGAGAGCAAGACATGATGTTAGCAGCCATGTGTGAGCACCTGCTCTCGTATTTTCTCAAGCGATTTCCCACCCCCCCCCTCGAGTTTTTCTGCAGGTGCATGTGCTAGTTAGTGCTTGGCTGAGTATCAGAGTAGGGTCCTTTGCAGATCTTTCCTCTTTACTGCTCTGTGCCGTGAACTTGAGACCACGTGAGCTCTCAGCTCTCCTGAACTCAAGGAGGCTGCTGGGCTCTGCTCAGCTTTCCTTTCCCGCCCTGCGGCCTGGAGCCTGGCTGAAGGCAGCCAGCGGGGACAATTGCAGGGCTGACTTGCTTGGTTTCGTGTTATCTTGTGCTTACATCTTGAAAAGTGCTTTCTAACATCTTGCCTGTTTATTGTTTGTTTTAGGTCAGATGGATGACCTAACTCCAGCTAACTCCAGCTCTTGTGACCTCAGTGGGGTAAAAAATGCAAATCTTCTGCCATCCGCTTCTTCCTGAAGGTTTTGCTGTCTGGCAGGTTGGTGGAGCAGCCACTTGTGAAGGGAGAGCAGGGGCCCAGGGAAGTTTTCCAAGGCAGAAGAAGACGCTCTGTTCCGTGTCCACCTCCCCAACTTCACTTCAGCCCTTTGAGGGTGCAGGAGACCTCCATGTTTAATGGGGCGCAATCATCAGGAGAGAGGAGTTAAAGGAAGCCCTGATTCCTGGGGACCCTTGACACCCAGCCAGAGAGCGAGCTAGGGGCATGGTCAGCTGCTGGGACAAAGCAGAGCAGGGCCATGGTTCCTCCTCTCTGCGGGGCCCTCGGTGATGGAAGGGACTGGCATAAAGATGAACATCTGCCTCCAAACCCGCATTCAAGGATGCTTCAAAAAGCTTACGGAATAACGGAATCAAAAGAGTCTTTTATTTTGGTGCAAAACATTAAAATTCATGCATTTTTTCATAATGTGCATTTCCATGAACTTTGGAAGACCCCCTTGTAACTCTTTATGTCACATCTAATGGGGGACCAACTTGTTGGCAGAGGCCACCGACAGTGGGGGAGCGGATCAAGCCAGTGTGAGGTCAAAGAACACGGACAAGTAGCCTCTTATCTAAGATGACCTCTACTGTCCCTCTTATGTTCCCTTCTTCCCTCAATGTGACGGCCCCTGGACCCAGTAAAGGAGGAGAAGACGAGGCCACAGCCCCTGCCTATTATTGTTGCTTGAGGTTCAGGTTCACAAACTTTAAATGGAGGCGAGGAAATGCTATTGAGATTGCCTTGAGGTTAGGATTGTGAACTGGAATGGCCTTCTGGTATCTGTTATGGATAAGAATGTGATGGCACCTGCCTGGAGATAGCATTAGGAGATGGACTTAGGTGCTGGACAGTTCATGGTTAACAGGAATAGCTGGAGAAAATGAACTGGACTACAGTCAGGCACCACACAACTTTCAATCCATGACAGACTGCATGGATGATGCTGGTCCCCAAACAGAGTGGAGCTGCAAACTTGCTGTTGTCTGGTGTTGCTGGCAGTCGTAGCAGACTATTCGCATGTTGGTGATGATGCTGGTGTAACGCCCACACAGTATGGAACACCTGACCATCAGCCGCTTGGTTACTGCTTACACACTTAGAGACACACGTACTTCTGCTTACTAAAGCCGTGTGCCTTGTTCCACTGGCAGCAGCCTCACAGCTCTCCTGTTTAGGGAGAGGCCACGGGGAGGGACTGACCTGCGCCGCTGTCTTGGTGTGTGTAAGTGCATTCTGTGAACTTTGCACAACGACAAAACCACCTAACAACCCATTTCTTGGCATGTGTCTCTGCTGCTTAGTGACACGTGACTGCCCTCGTCCTGCTACGAATGGAAGCTTCTCCATAAACTGTCTGCTCTGCTGACAGCAGCTGCTGACTATGGAGAGAGGCACTGTGCTGAGTGCTGCCCACGCTTGAGCTCGATTGCTCTTTACAACCTGTGAGATAGTAACACTTTCACACACCCATTTTACAGAGGAGGAAACTGAGGCACAGTTCCCGTGCCTAAACAAAGATGCAGACATCTCACCTGTGTCTGGCTGGTCCACAGCGAGCTCCGTTCTCCTCAGTCCCCTTGCTGTTACCCCTGACGTTTTCCCAAACACTTCTGCTTGTGTGTCCAGAGTGCTTCCCAGTTCACTAAGAGCCTCTCCGCCAACCCACCTTGTGATGGGGCCAGAACAGATCACATCCATTTTTTAAAATATTTATTTATTTATTTGAAAGTCAAAGTTACACAGAGGGGGGAGAGAGAGAGAGAAAGAGAAAGAGAGAGAGAGGGAGAGAGAGGTCTTCCATCCACTGGTTCACTTCCCAGTTGGCCACAATGGCTGGAGCTGCGCCAATTGGAAGCCAGGGGCCAGGAGCTTCTTCCAGGTCTCCCACATGGGTGCAGGGGCCCAAAGACTTGGGCCATCTCCTACTGCTTTCCCAGGCTATAGCAGAGAGCTGGATTGGAAGAGGGGCAGCTGGGACTCCACCCAGCGCCCATATGGGATGCCAGCACTGCAGGACGCGGCTTTACCCGCTAGGCCACAGCGCCGGCCAGCTCACATCCATTTTATGCAGATGCAGCGCTGCCTCAGAGCTCCGAGAGCCGTGTCCACGGGAGTGGCACCAAGTACCTTACTTCACCTCTTCGCACAGTGTGACGTTAATGGTTCCTTTCTCCGTGGCGTTAGTATAGACAAAGCGCGCCATCGGTGTCCGCGCTTGGTCTGCTCTGCCGAAGGATTAGCGTTGGTGCCACCTGCTCTTTACTGCCGGGTAGGTTCTCTGGCATCTGGGAAGAAAACTCTCAATGAACGCAAACACGCCTGCTTCTCTCACCCACGTCCTGCGGGCCCCCTTTCCTCACCCTAGCTCTCTTAACTCCGAAAACCATCTCTGCATCACACAAAGACATTCCCCCACCGACAATAGCAAAGGGGGAAGTTATTTTTGCTATTCCTGGAGAACCCCCGCATTTGGCGCTGGATTTCTGCCCCTCATTTGGCGCTGGATTTCTGCCCGGTCTTTGTACGCGCCCCCGGTTCCACTGCCGGAGGCCAAGAGAGCCCGGCGGGTAGTCAGCGGGTCTGAGGGGCGCGGACCTGCAGTACCGTCTGTGCGCAGCAGGCGGCAGGTGCGGCCTCCGGAAAGCAGGTGAGGCGCCGCGCATCGCCGCCTGCGCGCAGCTGCGCCCTGGAGATTCGGAAGCAGTGGGTTTGCCGGGCGCCCCAGGAGGACGCTTTTTTTTTTAAAGCTCCTCGAGTGACTGACTCAGGAAGTCCCTGCTTTGGCGTGTTCCAGAGAACCGCAGGCCCCATGCCACTGCTGCGCGGGCCGCGGCCGGTGATTCCTGCAGTTCGCAGAAGGAAGGCTTTGCAGCGCGTCGGGATCAAAGGGACCCCGAGACTGGGGGATGAAGCCCTGGCGAGGCGGAGGTGCAGCCACTGCCCCGGGAGCTCCGGGATGGGGAAGCCACAGGAAAGACCCGCTTCTTGAGGTCGCTACAACTGCAGGCCCCCGAGAAGTCAAAACCGTGCGGAACGCGCTGTTGCCTGAGTCCGGATTGCTACCTGGGCCACCTATCTCCGGAGGCCGCGTTGTCAGCAGCGCCCGAGGCTGCCTCTTGCCACCCGACCGCGAGGGTGCTCTCTCGCTCCTAGCCCGGCCTGTCCTCCTGCCCTGTCCTGTCTGCTCGCTGTCCTTGGGCAAATCAAAATGCCCCTGGGCCCGGGTTTCTCTTGTGTGAGCCAGGATGATGGACTGAGAGAATGAATGGTAGGCGTACCTGCAGTCGTGGAAAGAATTAGAGCTTTCTCCCGGGCGCGCTGTCTCCACACTGGAGGCCAGGGGGCCGGGGAAGCACATAGCCTGCACCCTGCCTTCCCAGAGGTCACGCAGCCTAGAAGGCACAGTGATTTCCCCAGGGAGGGCAGGGATGGAGGCCTCCTGACTGCCAGCCCAGCCCAGCCAGAGTCTCGCCGCCTCTCCTGACCAGCTCTGGCCTCCCTTCTTTCTCCTCTCCTTTCATCAACACTCAGCAAGCACTTGTTTTACTGGTCTTTTATACAAGGGCATTAGATGAATGTTTGGTGGTGATCAGCTCGGTCACTCGTTTAGCAACAAGCACTTGCTTTGTGCCAAAGCCATCCCAGGGAGATGGTGAGGAGCCCAAGAAAAGCGGGCAGTGCACACTGGGCAGTCAGTTGGCCCTGGGGGAAGGCGAGGCAGGCACCAGCAGGGCTGCACGCAGCACAGCGGCAGGCTCGGGGCTCGGAGGTCTGGGCACGCGACCTTGCCTGCTGCCTCTGTTGCCCTGCCCCGAGACGGCACTTTCCCGGCCGATTCCTCAGCTCCTGTGTGACAGGTGCCTCCCACCTCACTCTCTTCTCACCTGGGTCTTCCTGGAATTGGAGCCTTTTCCCGGCTTCGGCTGTCATCGATTTCATGCTGGCGCCTACATCCCTATCTCGGGATGAAAGCGTTTGTGTGAATGTTCCCTAGAGCGCAAGAGCTCCTTGTCCTAGAGTGAGCTCGTTTCTCCGCCCACCTGCTTTCGTCTGTGAACGCCGCGCGGCTCCCTCGGCCTTGCTCCTCCAACATCCCAGGGTCCCTGTGTTCTTCAGATCACAGAGTTGGGGAACCCTAAGCATCCCCGCCCCAGATGCCTTTGCGCACACATTTTCTGCTGTTGTCAGGCTTCAGGTAGGACCAAGACTCACCTGGATTGTCACAGCAACGTTTCCCTCGCTGGTCCTCTCCCTTCGGATTGTGCTCACCCCTCAGCCCTCCACGTGAGACCCTCGGACAGACAGAACTCCACCAGTCACAGCCCCTCAGCGCTTCCCTCTGCTTGCAGAGCCAACCTCCTCCTGACAGCAGCCCCTGGACCTCTGTTGTGGATCAGATCGTGTGCCCCCAGAACAGCGGCTGGAGAAGGTGAACTGATTTGGGAATGGAGCTCTTGAGATGTGATTGGTTAAGATGAAGTCATCCTGGAGGAGGTGGGCTCTTGACCCATCAGTGTGGGCAGAGGGGACTTTGGACACAGGCGCAGTCTGGGAGGGAGGATGCTCCTTGTAGAGTGGAGGCAGAGACTGGAGTTGTGTTGCTGCAGGTGACAAAAGCCTGCAGGAGCTCCCAGAAGCTGGAAGACGTGAGGAAGGCTTCCCCACGAGGGCTTTGGAGGAACTCGCCCCTGGCAGTGCCTTGATTTCGGACTTGCAGCCGCCAGCACTGGGAGGCAATAAACTTCTGTCGGTCTGTGGGACTTTAGGGCAATGACAGCCTGTCCTGACCCAGCTACCAACTATCTTTCCAGTCGCATCTGCAGTCACCTGCCTCAACTCACCCTGCTCTCTCAGAGCAGCCCCTGAACTGGACGCTGGGCCGTGCACAGCCCTGAGAACCCAGCACGCCCCTTCTCCACCTGCCCGCCTGCCCACTTCTGCCCTCCTGCAGCACGGTCTGTGGGAACGGCTACTGCCGGTCTCCTGCATGTGCTCAAGGCCTCCGGGAGAGCAAGGACTCTGCGTCTGTCTTCTCTCTCCACAGTGCCTTAGCAGTGGAGGCTGATCTCGTGTAAAGCTCAAAAAAAAAAAAAAAAAAAAGTGCGTCTGGTCGCAGGTTCTCCTGGAGAGGATGGTATGGGGGTGGCAGGATTCTAAACACTCCTTGCTACTCACTGGGCTGCCAGAGAGGGTGCTACCATGATTTCCCCAGCTACTAGTTAACCATGGGGCACGCAAGCCCCAGGGGACCCACACCCAAACTGCCAGTGCTGTTGCCTCGGCTCTGGCGCAGGCGTGAGGGAGGTCCCTCAGAGGCCGACACCTAATCACTGTCCCTCTTCAGATGAAAAACGGGGAAAATGCAGGCTAACTGTTGTTTAGTGACCCCACCCCCCAGCCCTGTAAAATAAACACTCTTTTCAATTAGGAAGATTTGTCACCGGGGACAGTAATTCCGTGTCCTACCAAAACAAACACAGTTGTAATTAGTTTTATCCAGGAAGAAAATTAACTCTGTTTATCTTGGCATAATTAATCATTGACCTCTTTCTGTCCGGGCAGCTTGGGGGAGGGCATGGGAGTGGGGCGGGGTTGTGATCTACAGCGAAGGGGATTCCGGGACCCATCTATCTCTCCCCTTGGTTACACAGCTGTCTGCGTGAGTTATTGGAGATAATATTCCTAGCCAAGGGTTGTGGAGCTGCCCTGGAGCTAGATGCAGAGAAACACCAAACAAGGCTGTGGTTTGATGGCTTCAGTCTGCAGGGAAGTTTAGATGCGTCTCAGACGGGCTTTGAGGCGCACTGCAGAACCCAAGGTGTGCTTGGCTTCTTCTGTCACCATCGCCCAGGCTTCCACAGTCCTGGGAATGGGCACAGGAGCAGGTTCTCAGTTATGGGACAGAGCTGTTCCTGCAGAGGAAGGGCTGGCTTGGGGGTTAGGGATTTGGGTTTTGGTCCTAAGTGACGTTTCTAGCTGTGACCCTGGGCAAGACTGTTACCTCCTAATAATAAAACAAAACAACAATACAATAAAACAACAACAGAACCAGGATGTAGGGGTCAGGGTCATTCATCTGCACCCACAGAGATGAAGTAAGGATTAGAAGTGAGGTATAGGGGTGCTGTGGTATAGTAGATAAAACCCCTGCCTGCAGCGCTGGCATCCCATGTGGGCCTCGGCTTGAGTCCTGTCTGCTCCACTTCCAATCCAGCTCTCTGCTATGGCCTGGGAAAGCAGTAGAAGATGGCCCAAGTCCTTGGGCCCCTGCACCCGGGTGGGAGACCCGGAAGAAGCTCCCAGCCCTGTCTCACCCCAGCCCTGGCTGTAGTAGCCATTTGGGGAGTGAACCAGCAGATGGAAAGTCTCTGACTGCCTCTGTCTCTCCTTCTCCCTCCTCCTCCTCCTCCTCCTCCTCCTCCCCTCTCTCTGTAACTCTGCCTTTCAGATAAATGAATAAAAATTTTTTTGAAAAAGAAGTAAGGAACACCAAGCCCCTAGCACACAGGGCCTGGGACCAAGTAGTTGGTCGGTGAATGTGGGAGGTGTTGCTATGCTCCCCTGAGCTGACCAAGGGCCCAGGGCGGAAGGACACACAGACGGGCTTCTCCTGTTTCAGTAGACCTGCTCTTCACAGAGACCTTGGTGTGTGCTGGGTTCCTCTGAGGCTGTGGAAATAAAAGGAGGGGCGCTCACAGCCTGTGGGGAGAGGGGAGTCTCCCCAGATAGCCTCAAGGTGCTGCAGCAAATGGGAGGCACACACACAGACTTGAGAGCCCGATCAAGATGCACACAGAGAGACAAGGGGACTCGGTTTCCCAGCTCTGGGCTGTTCTGCTGAGGTTCAAGGCCTCGCTGAAGCACAAGGGAGGAGACACAGGACAGTGTAGAGGGGGCTTGCAGATGGTGAGTCGATTGGACCCCAAGTATATAACTAGAAAATGGAGCAGCTGGGCTGGTAACCAGGGTCACCCACGGAAGCCTGTTTTTCATCGGTTTCACCTTGGGGGTCCTAGTAGAGCTGTAGTGGCTGGAGTCCTACCCCAAGGCCCCAGGGCCCAAGGCAGGGGCATCACAGCACCACGGCCTCTGGGGCCAGGCTCAGGACCTCCCAGAGTTAGCAGTGCAGCTCGCTGGGGCTCACCGTAGCTCTTCTGAGTCAGGAGCTCTCGTAGGAAGATAGCTTACACTAACCACTGAAGGTGAGTCTGATGCTCTCTCCACCCCTTGGAGTCATACAAATTTACCCCTTTGCCCACGGTGTGGAGATGGCTACTCCCAGACATGTGCTCGGGGTGGGGGTGGAGGTTGTTCTCTAGGCACAAGGCAAAGAGAACCACGAAGCCCAGGAGTTCCCTGTCCTGAGCCGAAGGGAGCAGACGGGGGGCATGAGGTGGGCCAGGGCCCCTAAGAGCCGGCTGAAGGGCTCACATGGGGGTGTGTCTCTGGCGGCAGGAAACCAACCCCAACCAGGCACCTGCTTGGAGCACAAGGCCCCTAGGAGCAGGCTTCTGCAGCAGGAAAGAGCTGCCCAGGTCACTTCTTGAAGGCAGAGAAAGCTCAGAGTGGGGGCAGTATCTTGTTCTCACTGCACGTGCACGAGTGGCTGGCAGGGTGCAGAGCTTTTGTCTTCTGCAAACCTAGCTGGCAGTGGGAGCCAGGAAGCCAGGACAGAGAGCAGCCACAGCTTCGGAGGATGCTGAAACTGGGCTTTGGGAGCTGTGTGATGCCTGGTCCTGCAAGAGGAACTCCGTGGGAACAGGGAAGCAGCAGAGGCTGGCGAGTCAGAAGAGTATATTCTGTGTCCAGCTTCTGCCAATGGCAAAACTGTGCAAACTCGGGAAGCAACCTTCCCTTCTTGGTCCTGCCTCAGGCTCCTGGTCTGTAAAATGGGGATAAGAGGGTCTTCCCTGTGAGACTTGCAGAGGTAACCACGCTGTGCACAGCACCTGATCTAATCTTCACAACAATCTTTAAAAGAGGGAGGGACCCAGGTGGCTTCCCCAGAGTCTCCCAGCGTTTTTAATGGAAGAACCAAGGTCAAATCCCAGCTCTGTCTGACTTAGGAGCCTTTGCTTTGATCATCTTCTGTTATTCCTCTTGTCTAGGAATGAATGAATGGCTCTATGTAGGCAGAGACTTCAGAAAGCCGATGGAAAATGGAATGAGAAGATGAGATGGTTTTGCTTTGCACAATCTTGAAACGCATGCCTAGTTTTTTCATACTATCCACTTTCTACGAACTTCTTGAAGCCCCTTTGTGCAGCTGCCCAGCCTCTGAGAGGTATCTACAGCCGTCATCACCTCCCTGAGAAACTGGGCTTGGCTCTGCCTTGCCACTGCCTGCCGCAGTGCACACACCTGCTGTCATGGCTGGGGAGTGCCGTTTCTTTTTAAGGTTTATTTATTTGAAAGGCAGAGTTACAGAAAGGCAGGGTGGGGGGAGGGGAAGAGAGAGAGAGAGAGAGAGAGAATTCTTCCATCTGCTGGTTCACTCCCCAGATGGCTGCAATGGCTGCACCAATTTGAAGCCAGGAGCTTCTTCCAGGTGTTCCACACAAGTGCAGGGGCCCAAAGACTTGGGGCATCTTCTACTGATTTCCCAGGCCATAGCAGAAAGCTGGATTGAAAGTGGAGCTTCCAGGACTCGAACTGGCGACCATATGGGATGCAGGCACTGCAGGTGGTGGCTTTACCCACTACGCTACAGCACTGGCCCTAGTGCCATTTCCATTTGCTCGGGGTACCTATCATTGCTGGCAGGGCTGAGGCAGGCCCAGAACCAGGCAGACCAAACTCCGTGGCTGCTGGCTGACGGGCACCAATCTGTGTGTATGGGAGAGGCAGAGGGAGCAGCAGGGCAGCAGGCGGGGATGAGCTGGCTATCACTCCAAGCAATAAGCATCCAGTGTTAGGGAGCTCAGGCTCCTGAGCCATTCATGGAAAACAGTCTGGGAAACGAGGTGGCACCAGGTGCATGGGAACGAGCAGGCTCACCTGCTGCTCCCAAGTTTATGCAGACTAGGCCGCAGCGACAAGTGTATGGAGCTCAGACTATGGCTGGCAATAGTCCCTGGCTCACCGCACTGAGCCAGGCATCTTCAGGGGTGCAACCAGGAAGTGGGGGAGCCCTCCCCAGAGGGGGGCGGGGCTGCCAGTAGAAGTCTGCTGGAAAGAAGACCCAGGGCCATTTCTCTGGCTTCAGCTTTCTGCAGGCCAGAGGCAGATGCCTTCGTGGAGAGCTAGGTGCAGCTCAAAGCTGGGGCAGCCTTGTGGGGCAGTGAGTGTTCAGCAGAGGCCACAGACGGCTCATCAGTGGGGCTGGGCGCTCAGGGAGGTCTGGGGAGGGGTGAGCCGGGGCACTGCAGGTGACTCTGTACTGCTGCCCTGGCTCCCCTGCCTGGGGGGGCTGGGGTGGGGTGGTATCTGGTACAGGACTGGTGACGACAGCGCCGTTGGAGTTCAGAGAATGTGGCGTGCAGAGTGTCTGGGGTGGGCCTGTAGCAGGGGAGGCGACGTGGTGAATTCCACCCCCAGGTGGAGTCCCTGTGACCAGGCCTCCCCTGGATGACGCGGCTTCTGGGCAAACTGAACGAGTGTAGGATGAGGATGTAAGAAGGCGGGAGAGCAGGGTAGGAGGGCGTCACAAGGTGGAGTCCAAGCTGTGTCCCAAGAGCGCTCCTGTGCCTGGCCCCCCTCTGGGGCCGGTTTTACAGATGATGGCAGAGGTGAAGCACTGGCCAGCAAGGCTCTGGGTGTGCCGGGTGTGCCAGGTGTGTCAGCGGTGCTGGCGTGCACAGTAAGCCGTGGCCGCCTTCCAGTGGGCAGCCGGTCCTCAGGCTAAGATGTTGGTCAGAGGTCTTTTTTTCTTTTAAAAAGCCATGTGTCTTCTTTATCAAATACATTCCATTATAATCCTTCTGAAATACAGAAGATAGAATAAATCATACCATAAAAGAGGGTAATATATGATAATATGACGGTGGCCAATTAATACACGTAAATCTATTTTTTATGGACAGCCATCCAATTACTTAAGATTAAGAGATAATTCTAGAAGTAACACGACCTGGAGGATTAGTAGACAATTAAACACTGACTTCCAAATTGCTAGATGGGCAAGTCATGCAGCATGTGTCGTCAAATGTGTGTGAGACCCAACAGACATGGCTGAGTGTCACCACTGGTGCCTACAATTTAAACAAAATCCGGCTAGTGTAGTTGTTCGCCTGAAATGATCTTGACCAAAATTTCTAAAAGTGTGGCTTGCACTCTTCTTTTTCAGACATGCTCTGCTTCGTTTTACAATCTTAGCAGGCAGTGCTAGGGGAGCTGAGTGGGCGTGAGGCACTGTTGTTTCTTACATGCAGAACATGGGTTTTACTGTTTGGTTCCATCAGCTCCCAAGCATTTCAGGCCTAGGAAGTGAGAGTTCCTTTACTGCTGACACTTTGCCATTTCTAACTTATCATCGCCCACCTTCCCAGG